AACCTGCATCCAGAAGAAATAAGAATCAGATTAGACATTAAAGTAGCAAAATATAAGGTTGCAAATGTGGTGCGAGGCCAATTTTTGGAATTCTTTGAGGTTTGCTGCCAATTATTTCACCCCCAAAAAAACTATAAAACTGAATAAAGACTTCAGATTTTTTGATGGGGGTAAATTACAGGAAAGCACACACCGTTGGTTGGTGCATTCATCCATTTAATGATTAAGAGAAAAAAGTAATTTTGTGACAAACGTCAATGGTAGCAGATCAGTGAATTCACATTGCTGAACAGAACTGGGTGTTTTTGATGCCCCAAACCGGCTCATCAACAGAAATAAAACCTAAAGTTCAAACTTCACACACAAATCTGAATATTGGCTTCATTTTAAAGTTGACTGTTTCTGAGGCGACTGTATAAAGCTGCAGACTCTCTAAGGTCCATAGTCCAAACCCGTTCTGTTTCGCACACAAACAAATTAAAAGCTGCTTGAAAACTCATCTGGTTCAAATCTGAGTCAGATCAAACTGCTGTTCTCATTGATTTGGGATTGAATTAACAGACTAAATACACATCAAAATACAAAAACATCCACATTTATTATTTTGAGACTATTTTTTCTTCTTGAAAGGTAATCTATAGTAAGATAATATTCATTTCCAGTAGTCAGAATCAAAAAATTCTACATGATTTCAGTTATTAAACAGTTAAGCATTATTATCCACTTCAGATTTCATCTCAAATATTTTAAAAAGTTTGTACTTTTATACTTACTATTTTTTATTCTCGTCTTTAGTCAATCCTGTTAATGTTTTCAACATTTTTGGGGTAGATGCTGCACAAATCGCAGATCAAAAACAGAAAATAATTCATAGTTTAATATTCTCTATAATATTCTGTCACAGTTTTTAAAACTCTGCATTCATAAATTTGATCTTTTAGTTGATCAATTAACTGAAATATTCTGACAAGTTTCACTAAAGGATTTTTGTTGAACATTTTTATCACGTCTAAATATATCTTTTAATTAAGCATGATTTTGGGTCACAGTTTTTTCCCAGATTTCGCTAAATGACCCCAGAACTATTGTTCATATAGTTTAAAATCAGTTTTCATCAGATGTCAGGAGACATGCCTCAATGACCACAGTTTATTTTTGATTTCAGGAATATTTTCATGCTGTAAAAATTACTATCTTTATAGCAACGTCTCCATGGATCCTGGTGGAGCAAATTCTTTATCACTTTGCACTGAAAAAAAAATCTCAAATATGGATCAGAATCAGGGTTGCTGTTATTTTTTGAGACTTCAAGGTTTGTAGAATACCCACTGAGAAATTAAAATGTGCATATATGGGAAGGGAAGAAAAGGAAAATCCACTTTTTGTGTTTTTAAGAAGCAAAAATAGACATAAACTACTAAAATGACCACTAAAGGGGTTTACAATTCTGAATTATCATGAATATTTGTTATAATGTGTAAAAATATGTTATATTTATGGCATTTTTGTGTCTCCAATGAATACAGGTGGGGCGCAAAAGAAGGAATCCCCCTCCTTCCCTCAAAATGTTAAATGTTTAAAATGAAACCCAACTTTATCGGCTACAAAATAGTGCCACCAATTTTAAATACATTCAAAACAAGTTAAGTAAAGTCAATAATTAAGGTGAAACAGCGTTACTTCTACATTAAAGATGAAACATGGAGTCTGCGTGAGTCATTTCCTACTTCAGAGCCCTGAAAGCTTACGATGCACAACCTTTAAAACGACGGAACCCGCCTTTAGCATCGCAACTTCACACTAGTGCCGTTATTTAGCCCTCTGTCTGAAGAATGAGCACCACCCCCCTCATAACAATGCGGATTTGTGTCGTTTTTAGCTCATTTTCCATTATGAAAGCCCCGGAGATTAAAACAGCGGGGCACATGACGACTGTTGGTGAAGTTTGTTCTAGACGCTGCACAGCGCGCACGGACTTGTTGCTCAAAAAAACAACAACGAAAAATAAAATAATAATAATAACAATAATCATACACAAGAAACCTTATATACCCACAATTACAATTATCAACCAAATCAACCACAAACAACATCAGTTATCTGAGACGGTCTGATCAAACGGTGACGAAACCGCACAGTTGAAAGGCACTTTCCCGAACTTACTTGTTCCGCCTTCCTGTTTCCTTCGGTCTTCTGCCGAAAGATTACACGATAACTCGTCGATAGCTGTACGTCAGTGATATGCGCGACCTACATTATGGGTTCAGGCAGCTAAACATGCTGCAAAGACGGCGATAAATCAATAAATATGCCACTTTAATGAAGAAACTAACGTCTGACTCCTCCCTGAAATGCGAAAAGTATACCACCACAAAGTTAGCGGTAAGGCTAGTGACTTCCGGTTGAGACCTTCAAAATAATCGACTTGAATTTTTCCACTGGATTGTAACGAATTTATAAAAAATATTGTTGCTTGGATACTACATAATGAATCTTACCCAGGTTGTACATACATGAATAAAACTTTGGGAAATTTTTTTTAATGGAATTAGAGATGAATAGAAAGTGTTTCACACATTCTCAGTAGGCAGGCATTTGTACACAGATTACAGATTAGATAAGAGATTAGGGATCTACACATATCTTTTAAGATGTTACAACCAGTCAGTCTACTCTAATAGCTAGCTTGTTGTTTATTTAAAACACACCAGAGAAAACAGAAATGTATATGTAGAAAGGAGTACAATTATATTTTTCTTCTTCTACTGCTTCTTGTTTTTGGGATTTCAAAATGTACCATATGTCTAATCGGTACATATATGTATATAAATATGCAATTTGATTAAATTTAATAATTTACTTTCTCAAAGTAAATTATTATAATCTTTTTTTACTGTGACTAAATCAAGTTGTCAATGTCATTTTATACAGAGAATAAAGCTCATGTAGATTAATTTATTTTTTTTCTTTTTTTTTAACTACCGAGACATATTATTTGAATCGCTTATTATTTATGTAAAATAACCATAAGCAACTACATCACATATTTTAGGTACAAATCCGTAGTACATAGAACGAGAAAACCTTATTTTGAAAAGCCACATTTCAACTTCCGGTCTTGTTCAGCGTTGCCTGGCAAGACAGAGGCACTTCCTCTGACAGTGTGTTACAGAGCTTGTCAGACTAACCTCATTTATTTCATAACGCAGTCTAAGTAACCCACAGTATATCCTGTTTAAACCACAAATAAATAAACAACTCTAGATAACTTTTTATTGCTCGTAAATCTATTAAAATACTCACAAAACATGCATTTTACATGTAAGGTTCAGGTGATCAAATACAATAGAAAAAAACATCCTTAATGACTTGTTGGTATTTTTACCCATTCATCTGTAGTTGAGGTCGAGTTGCAAAGGTAACTGGTCCAGGACAAAAAAGTTAAAAAGTAGAACTGAAGTCCTGACGTCCTTTATAACTAATTTTTTGGGTAAATGAAGCGTTCCCACTTCATAAATAATAGTTTCTCAAGAAAAGAAACTATTGAAGTTTCCTCCCACTTTCCTGTCAACTTTCAGTTTCAGTTAAATTCAGTTAATCAATAATTAATAATTCATTCACAAAATACATAATTTCCATTCAATCCTACCCACGTTCCTATTGATCCTGGTTACTAAACAGTGCATTAAGTTCAGTTTACTATTCAAATTAGTTCAAAACATTTTCTATCTAATGAAATCAGATTCATTAACTTGCAGTATTCATGGGTGCATAGTGACAGTAAATAATCGTCTGTATTGCGTTGTTGACTTTATAAGGATCCTTCATACTGTAAATGAATGTTGTGGGGACAGTAGAGAGGAAAAACTTCTCTTTAATAGGAAGAAACCTCCAGCAGATCTCAGCTCGAGCGACCAGCTGGAAGTTTGAGAAGACAGAGCAGATGCACAAAAAATAAACACATGAACTAATGTAGGAGAGTTTTATGTCTTAATGAAAAGTAAAACATTAATTCAAAGCACTGTTTCCCTGCAGGAAGAAGGCCCTGGATTTAAATCCCAGTCTGGAGTTTTTCTGTATGGACTGTACAGGTTCTCCCTGTAATTTAACTGAGAAAGTCAGAGTTTTACCTTGCGGCTCACATCTCTTTTCTCCTCGGCAGGCTGGTACAGTATTCACATAATTGCAGATAGTTCCCCACTCTACCTATTTACTTCCCGTTCCATTCAACCCCCACTTATGAACTATGAAGATAATGAGATGGTTGCTGTGCAGGCAAGCAAACCAGACCTGATTCCTCCCTTAGAAGAACTGCTTTTCACAAAATCCCCTCAAAATCCCCTTGGTGGGCCAAAGTTTTAACAATAACAACCATTTATGCCACTGTAATAGCGTCCTTAAATCTTGAAAAACCGAATGCTTCAGTGCCATCCCTCAAATGGTTTTGTTGGAATCCATCTCAAAGTTTAGTTTCAATAATCTTAATTTGGTCATTTCAGAATTCAGAAATATTTTAAAGCAGTCCAAGTTTAATTTACTTTAAAATGCGATAGTTGGGATCAACAAAGCCCGCAACAAAACACTTGTAGTTCCCAGGAGCTACTGTACTGCGCATACAACGGTGAACCCAGCGGACCAAAAGGGCTGAAGCTCCGCTTGCGTTGCTAGGTGATGGGCTGGACTTCCTGGGGTTGCTAGGTAACGGAGCAGTACCCTTCCACTGAGACTCAACATTGAAATATTGGCTTGTTTTCCAGAGATCAAAAAACGTTAGGATCTTGGGTTGTCTTGGTCATTTCATTCTAGTTCCATTATTATTGTGTTTTCCTCATTTTCTTGTTTTGATTACGCCAGCCTTGTTTAGTTCAGTCCTTTCTCAGTGATTCTAGTTTGTTAATCTATTCCTTGTGTTTTGTCAAAGGTTACTCTGAGCTTCACACTGCAGGCCTTAATGCTAAATTCCGATTTTTCTTGTGAAATCTGATTTATATATTTTTTTGCGTGGTCCTTCACAATTCCAAATATATGCGACTTGTATGTAATCTCCCGTGTGAAACGCAAACGACCTAAAAATGTCCCGCATGCGCTGTAGAGGGCGCAATAACGTCACACTTGAACCATAAAAAAAGAAGTGCTCAGTGTTTGTGGGAGTAAACGTGGATGGTATTGAGAATAATTTACGATTTTAAAGTTGTTGTCCAACCGGAGCCAGTTCATTAAAAACTTAATCCTCTTGATCGTCCGCCATGGCTGTTGTTTTTCTTCCCGGTTGCGCGTAACAGGACGCAGAACAGTGACGTTTGTCGAGTATCAATGACGTTCAGGTACAGCTTCAGGTCACATTTGAAAAGATCAGCTACATATCGGATTTAGGACCACATATCTAAGTGGCCTGGGTCTTAAAAGAAATCCGATCTGTAATTTTCAAATTGTCATGAAGAAATCAGATACAGGTGGCATTAAGGCAAAAAGGGTGGGGGGAGGAAATGTGATTTAGGTCTCTTCAGGCTGCAACCCCTCACACCTGCAATCCATTAGCTAATCGTCCCCGGTCTTTTGTTCCAACTTTCACCCTCACAGTATTAAAAACCCTTTTCTATTGGTTGAAGGATAAAGACAATAATTGATGCTGAGTAAATCTTATCCCTAAGAAATAAACAGATGTCTCTTTGTTTCTTTAAGTTTGTAATAGGATGACAAAGTTGTTGTTTTAAAAAAATGTTAATACATTGCACATTCATTCCACACAGCCAAGATGGCTTTAGAATAAAAAATGGATGACAAAAATTGTTACACATTTAAATTTCCATAAACTCTACAAACATATTTTTGTATTTTCTATGGTGCCCATTCCATATATATGAATCACTTAACATAAAATTTGGACTCAAATTATCTATTTTTTGTTAGTTTTGCTTTATTTGGTATAAAGACAGACAAACTGCTTTAAGGTGGAAGTACAGAAAAAAAACAACACTTCATGTGCCATAGAGTCCCATTACAGTCTAGAAATACCAGAACACAGAATTAGTTCTGTCATCAATGCAAAGACACTTAACATTCAGATCATGACAGACACACAAACCTACAGTAACCCTCCTGACACAGCTGAAACACCCAGGAACAATTTACAAATGCACATTTTGTCAATGAGGCCCGTTTAGCTGTATCTGCTCGGCATTCAAAGCTCATCATTATGCGCCGCTCATGAAATGCCCTTTGTTTTGGTAGTTTAACGCTTGGTTGAAAGGACGCTTTGTGCAGCAGTGGGACAGAATGCGCCTGTCTTCCTGTCTACTTGCTAGGCATGGCAGCAGCTTCGGCTCCATCAGGCTTGGCCTTGCTGGATATGGAGTAATGATAAGTCCTCATGGACTCCTCGACCTTCTTGAAGTCGGGGCGATCCTCGTGGCTGGAAAGAGAGAGAGAGGGAAGAATGTGAGAGATCTTGGTTTAGAATGCTAAAAGTGATAAATAAAACCTTAGTTATTATCAATCTGATAATACAAGGCTCATACAGCAGCATTTATGTCACCTCAGACTATTATTTGCTGCATGTTTGAAAACAAACCTGACTCAATCTTTGGAACTTCGCAGCAATCAAATAAAAATGATGCAAACTATAAATGTTGTCTACACTTTCTTTTTATTTGGACTTTTTCTTGTTTCTACTTATCTAAGGATGGAATAAAGTCCTCATTTGTTTCTTTATTTTGTAGATTTTTAGATTTAGATGTAAACATATTCAGACCCATTGCACTTTTCTATAACTGATCATAATATAAAGTTGCTGTTTAGTGTATTTTCTTGAGGTTTACGTGACACATGCATCCCTGCCACTCCAGTCTCAAATCTTCTATAGGCTGAAACAAGTTTTCTAGGATGTATTTATCTCCTACTTTCCCATCAACTCTAACCTGAGGGCGCTCCAGTTGATTTTTTTCCAACTGGAAAGTCAGAATTTCCCAGTTCCAAGTACAACTGGAATGCAGCATGAATTACTGAGGTAATTGGTTGCACTGAGTTTAGTTTATGCCAAAATGAAAGGGACTGAAAACTAATCCACTCCATATGATTTTATTTGTAAAAATCCGTTAAATTTTTTCCCCTCTTTTTCACAACTTTTGGTCTGTCTCATAAAATTCAGATAAAATGCACTAAACCACTGATGCCCAAACTTTTTGGAATGGAAGGAAAAAATGTCAAGTTGCAACTATTTTTAGTGCTTTAATTATAATTGCAAAAACTTTTATATTTTTATTTTTACTTGATCAATAAACTAAATACACAACATTTTAATGAAATAAGCAATCAGTTCTTTGTAGATTTAAAATAAAAAAGGGTCTTGCAGGTTTGCCAGATTAAGACAAAAAACAGAAAATCATATACTAAACTTTTCATCTTTTTCTGGATTGTTTTGTCTCTTTTTAACAACAAGAAAAGTTTATGGCTCACTCTTTTTTCCCCAAGTTTGCTAAATGGGCCTTCCCAAGTCTGCCTTTTATTAAAAACCACTGGATGTTTTTGATCAATATTACTAATAAGTTAAATAAAAAGCAAAACCCTGGATGAATACTTTGTATTACACATTACATTTTCCATTTGAAGATTTTAAAATGTAGATCTACATCAACTTGCTGAAGCAACAAACCAATTTTAGGATATTCTTGAAATGTGATCACGGGTTCTTTGGACACCCCTGCACTAAACATTTAATGGGTGTAAATACATTGCGAGGCTCTGTATGTCAACTGCGAGGTGAATGAGATTTGGTTTCTTACGAATGTGTCCAGCACTCTCTCATCAGTGTGTACATCCTCTCTGGACACGCTGGCGGACGCTCCATACGGCCCCCGTTGTTAATGAAAGCCGTGACCTCCTGACCTTTCATTTTCTGGAGAAAAGTCAGAGAGGTAGAAGTTGTAGCATGACGCTTAAGAGTTCTTCAGATCCTGGTGAGAATCTTTCATAAATTCACTCTTGCAGATTGCTGTTACCTTGTAGGGTTTTCCTCCGTAGGAGAAGGCCTCCCACATGGTGACGCCAAAGCTCCACACGTCACTTTTACTGGAGAATTTGTGGAAGTTTATACATTCTGGAGCGTACCACTTCAGTGGCCATTTACCTGCTGTACGAGCCTGGAAACATCATTAATTGATGGTAAGCAAACACAACAATTTTACTTTTAAAGACTTCTTATTCCATTTAGTAATGAATAGTAGGCCGTGATTATTGTCTCTCATCCTTAAAGAAATGTGGCTGCGTACTTTGTAGTAGTTGTCATCTGCTCCCAGTGCCTTGGAAAGCCCAAAGTCACTGATTTTGGCGAACTGCTGGTTGACCAGCAGGACGTTGCGAGCTGCCAGATCTCTGTGCACAAAGTTCTTGTCCTCCAAATACTTCATCCCCATCGATACCTGGTGCATCAGGTTGACGATGTCCTCCACAGACACAGTTTCCCTGAGACGGATACGAACAAGGAGAGTCTGAGCAATAATGATAGTCTGTCTTGAATGGAGGAATTGTGATTTGATGCTTTTATTTTCTGTTTATCTTGGTTTGGTTTTGTTATATTGAAGTATTTTTTTAAATATTGCTCAGTTTGATGGCTTGGACTTGTTGTTCCTGCTGTTGGCACTAGATGTCCTCAGGTTCCTTCATGTGTTCCAGCTCTTTGTTCATCTTTTGTTTCATATTTCTAATCCACTAACTTCTGCTGATCTTCCCAGTATATTTGCTCATTCTCCAGTATTTTTACTTCTCAGATCCTCTGCTTACTTAATGTGTAAATTGTTTTTTACTTAATCTTTGGTTAATTTGAAAAGAATCTTGTCTTGTATCTGAAATTAGCCTCCTACAAATGCTCATTTGAGTACTTACCCTGACATAAGACAAAATTATTTATATAGTACATTAAAAAACAAGGTAATTCAAAGTGTTTTACATCATAAAAACATTATAGTCACCAATTCTGAAACAAATAATAAACAGTACATGATGGAATTCGTAAATCCCATCATCAAGCAAATATGCATCAAACATATTGATCGATGTTTCACTTATAGCTAAAGGAAAGAAATCCTAAACAGGTGGGTTTTAAGTCTAGATTTAAAGGAAGTTAGTGTTTCAGCTGTTTTGCAGTTTTCTGGAAGTTTATTCCAGATTTGTGGTTCATAGAAGCTGAATGCTACTTCTTCTAGCTAGTTTGGTTCTGGTTCTGGTGATGCAGAGTAGAACCAGAACCAGAAGATCTGAGAGGTTCTGGACGGTTGATGCAACAGCAGCAGATCTTTAATGTATTGTGGTGCTAAGCTGTTCAGTGATTTATAAACTAACAACAGTAAAGTCTATTCTCTGAGCTATAGGGAGCCAATGGAAGAACTTTAGAACTGGTGTTATGTGCTCTATTTCTAGTCAGAATGCCAGCAGCAGCGTTCTGGATCAGCAGACCTGTGAAGGTACTGTTGCAGTAATCAATGCGACTAAAGATAAATGCAAGGATGAGTATCTCTAGATCTCGCTGAGACATAAATCCTCTAATCCTGGAGATGTTCTTCAGGTGGTAGAAGGCTGATTTTGTGACTGTCTTTATGTGGCGCTGAATGTTCAGGTCAGAGTCCATCACTACTCCCAGGTTTCGGGCCTGATCGTTAGGTTTTAGTTGTAATAACTGAAGCTGTGCATTGATTCTAGTTCGCTCCTCTTTAGGTCCAAAGATAATAACTTCAGTTTTGTTTCTGTTTAGCCGGAGAAAGTTTTGGCACATCCACACATTTATCTGTTCTGAGCATCTGTTCAGTGATTGGATGGGTTCTGAGTCACCTGGTGACATCGTAATGTAGAGCTTTGAATCATCTGCACAGTTAATCTTATTTATTGTTATAACCTGAGGGAGAATGTAGATATCAAATGGTACGGATCCCAGGATTGAACCTATTGGTACCCGACATATGACTTCTGTTTGTATTGATGTACAAATATATTTTTTAATTGACTGGTTGCCAACTGCAGTCCTCGAGATTTTACTCTCCTGCAGGTTTTATATGTCTCTCTGCTCAATCAGATCATTGAATTACCTCTTCAGCATCCCATTAATTTTATTAAAAGGTATGAGTTATGAGTTATTCATATGATTCAGGTGTGTTAGAGCAGCAATGCATCTAAAATCAGTTTTAATTTCACACAAAGAGACACAGAAGTCACATTTAAATTAATGTTCTTTCCCCATTGTGTTTTATAAACACTGCAGGAAGTTAATGTATTGATTTGTTTCCATTCAAATAGTTTTAAAGACATTTATTTATTTTCTCCCCTCTGCATACTCACTTTTTGGTGGAGAGGAACTTGTTGAGCGGACCGGCTGCCGCCATCTCCATGACGAGCATCAGGTGCTCGGCATTGCAAAGGCCCAGCATGCGGACGATGAACGGGTTGTCCAGCTGGTGCATGATCTCTGCCTCCCTCATCATCTCGTCCTTCACCAGCTTTTCATTTTCACTCTTCAGCACCTTGATGGCCACGTCTACCTGGCCTCTGTGGTTACAGAGTTAAATATTGTCGTTAAGCAGTCATAAATCGTGTGGAATATTGTTGCTGGTTTTGTAAAAAAATAGTGTTAATCTCACGATTCTGTCCTGAGGACGCCCTTCTTGACGCAGCCGAAGTTTCCAGAGCCGAGCTCCACCTCGTCCATGATCAGCTGGTCCCGCTGGATGTTGAATTTCTTGATCTCATTCGGGTTGTGATATGGGTTAAATCCATCACAATCCATGGGCAGAAGGTCGCGCTCTTTAGGCACAGAAGTAACTTTCTTTGAGGCCAGCGCAGCAGCTGATAGAGGAATGAGACATGTTCAGTGTGTTTATAAAAATAAGCTCCACGTCCAAATAGTAGTATTGTTTTCATGCATAAAAGTATACTGGGAACAGAGTATGTTCTATTTAAGCAAAACTAAATAAAGGGTATTAAAGGGTCAGTATTATGTGTTTTCTGGGTATATATTGCCACTTTATAGCTGTTAACAGCCCCTGACATCTAGAAGGGGCTGTTCTAGCACCTCTGCTGATTGGCTGCAGAAAAGCACCAACACCATTGGACCAGCAGATGATGACCCAGTCAATCAGACTGATGAGGCCCACCTGCACCCTATAAAAGGCGACTGGAAGGCTTTGTTCAGGTGTCTCCCAGCTTTGCTGTTTGTGGCTGATGACTGGTTTGGGCAGCTTTGAAGTACTTTGTTCTGCTGACCCATTTTTGCTCTGCTTAGCAGTTTTAACTCTGATCTTGACTGACTTTAAAGCAATCTAGAAACTTGTGTTTGGTGCTTCCTTAGTATTCCTTTAGTGTTTTTCTTTTGGGTTGTTTTAAATTTAGCTTAGGCTAACTTGTTTGGTTATTGTTGTTTAATTGGTGGAGGTTCACTTAACCCTCTTTAGTTTGTTAGTCTTCTTTTGAGTGAGTTAGGTTGTATTGTGTTTTGTTTGTGAAACTATCCTTTTTGTAATAAATAATTTTAAATTTCACTTCTTTCTCTGGACACTTCTCTGAACCCCTAGACAATAGGGTTTTAACAATAACACAGTCAAGTAACTGTTATCTTCAGTTGTTACAAAATTATAAATAAAATGTGATATGCAGAAAGATTAAATAAATCTTGAAATAAACAAATTAAAATATGATTGACAATAGCAATATTTTTGTTTTTATTTCATGGGAATATTTATGAATAACAAAATTTATTTTGTTCATAAAATAATTGAGCAGATTCACTCAATTTTGATGAAACTGCTCTCCATAGTTTGGTAATAAAAGTGCTGCGTTACAATGTAAATAAATAACTGACCTCCTGGCGGTGGTGTGTATGCATTCGGTCGAGGTCGCCTCTGAAAGGAAAACATCCAGATAAATCTCATGGGTTGAAAAAAGAGCTGAATTTTAACAGAGATGGATGTGAATACTTACTTCTGAAGGAACACTGGGTTTCTCTGAAACATTGAAAGAGACACAAATAAAAAAAGTATCCATGCCTTTTGAACCTTTTCACATTTTGTCACACTACAACCACAAACTCTAGTGTATCTTATTGAAATTTTATGGGATAATCTGGCACAAAAACATGGCATAAATGTGAATTAAAAGGAAAATTGTGCATAGTTTTCAAACCTTTTTATAACTAAAAAGTGTGGTGCAAGTTTGCATTATAAACTTAAACCACTGAAGAGGAAAGCTATTGTTAAAAGAATGACACGAGCCATGCAGGAGACAACCAAACAAAAAAAAAAAACATTGTGGTCATAGGAGCCTGACCTTAAAACTTATGCCTTTATTTAAAATACTATCTATGTGTGATGGAAATATAATTCTCCATTTATCCTAAAACACAGATCCTCTTTTTGTCTCAGTTAAAATCCCAATAAAATAAATTTAAGTTGGAGGTTGCACTATGACAAAATGTGGAAAATTCTAAGGGATATGAATACTTTTGCTATTTATAACTGAACAAGTACAACATGTTTTATTACGTTCTACAGTTTTGCCGTTGACGCAGGCCTCCCCGAGGACAGTTACCAGACCATCAGGCTTCATCTTGAGATACTCGACCAGCTGAACAGGCAGAGGAAGTTACAGTCATTTAAAGGTCTTGAGCTGCTGCAGAAATAAAGGTAAAAATAATAAAAGAAAAGAAAATGGAGGCTCTACCTGCCACAGTGTGTCAAACTTTGTTCCCTCCGGCATAGCCAGCTTCCCTGATTTGTCCTGCTGGATCTGATAGTGGTAAGCCGTTTTCCCGTACATCATAGAGAGCGCAAACGAATTAGCCTCGTCTCTGTCTCTGACACTAACATACACAAAAAAAATAATAATTTGCATAAAGATCTCAGATGTTGATAGCTCAAAACATCAAGTGGCAACACAGAGAGGCAGAGCTGTGAGGCTTACAGAAACTTGCCGTCTGGCTGTGCTCCAGAGTAAAGCCTCCTCTCCCCTTCGAGTCGAGTGATTTTTCCGTGATACCAGGGCATCTGTTCATGGGCGGTGGTGGCGATCAGCTTCTCAAGCTGAGGAGCCTGACTGATGACGGCCTGCTCCATGGCTTCTCCCTGAACAAACGCAGCAGAAATGTTAAAAGTGGTCCTCAACGTTTACACCCGCATGTGAAAATGGCTGCAAACAGATGTGCAATTGTAAAACTGTACATCTTTGAAAAGTAGACGTGGAGCTTCCTGCACAATCAGCAAGAATGCAGCAAGTGATTTCTGAACAATAAAACACTAGTCTTTTCCAGCAGCCATTGTACAGCCAGCTGACCAAAACGTGCTGGAGTTTGGATTTTGGGTTGCTAGGTGATAGGCAGAGCTTCATATGGGTTGCTAGATAACGTAGAATGTCATGTACAAAAATGTGCAAAATGTGGATTTTGCATAATAGGTTGCCTTTAAGTACTCATGTACGGATAATCATTGATTATCATATTTTTATTTTATTTATATTATTGAAGCAACTGGAAAGCTGGGTAGGACTGTCTTGTCCAGAACTTAACTGGTTTGAATCTTGCGTAAAAAAACAGGGACTTCTTTGTGTTAGTAGGTAATTTCTTATCAAAACGGACAGAAGTCACATGTGGGGTTCCACAAGGTTCAACCCTGGGACACCCCCAGTTTAATATCTACATGCTCCCATTAGCTCAATTTATAACAACAAATAAGATTAGTTAATATAACTCTTCAAATTGTTATTATTCCGAGTCACTAACCAGAAACTAAACTGAAGTTATTATCTTTGGACCTAAAGAGAAATTATCTAGAAACGACGCACAGCTTCAATTATTTCAGCTAGAAACCAGCGATCAGGCCTGAAATTCGGGTAAAGTGATGAACTCTGACCTGAACCTTCAGAGTCGCATAAAGACAGTTACAAAGTTGGCCTTCTATCACTCGAACATTTCCAGGAATAGGAATATTTTTGATAACCCCATCTGATCTAAAATGGTGAATCTGATTTATTATCTGACAATGAGAAAAAATGATTGTCTTTTTAGTGAACATCCAGTTTTAGCTGTATGTGTACAAATAATGTGAGAAGGAGCGACTCAAATCCCTGATGTGCAACGTTTTGGTGCAATAATATTTAAGTGAAATTGTCATTAACATTGTGATTTTTCTCAACCTGATCAAGGGTAACACTTCTGCAAAGTGTTTCTCTTGGAGATTTAATTTGCCTGATCTGCCAGTGTTTTTTCCCACATTAAAAACCAAAATGTCTTACTCTAATTCTAACCCTCAGCTGGCAGAATATTTCACTTCGCACTTTCTCATGTACTTGTTATAAGTCATACATGTTCCATTTTTGTTCTTTTAAGTAAATGTAAAGTTTCAAATTGTCTAAATTTCTTGGTGAGTTTAATCAGCTGCAGATGAATTCAGTGTAGATCTTTTAAGGTGCTGTACACTGCAAAACCACAAAATCTTACCAAGCATTTTTGGTCTAGTCTCTACTGCAAATATCTTATTACAGGTTGTTTAACATTGATGAAGAAGTATTAGTACTGGCAGATTATTTCACATATAACATTGAAAAAATGCCTTGTAATAAGTAAAATAATATGCCAATGGAACAAGTATTTTTTAGTCACTATTAAGGAATTATTGAGTTAAAGCAAGCTTCTTTATCTTGCTGAAAAGCTACTTATAAGTTAGTTTTGTTTCATTTCTAGTGTACTAAGATATTGGCAATAGAAACGAGACCAAAATCAGTTGGTGAGATCTTGTGTTTTTGCAGTGTATTAATAGATTTGTCTTAATTTACTGGATTAGAAAGTAAATGAAAATATTTTTGCTTCACATTAAATTAGGCATCCTTAAACCAGAAGTGAGTAAAGTACCCAAAAACTGTACTCTATTAAGAGTAGCACTACTTCAACACATTTTTAGTTAAGTGAAAGGAAAAAAGTAGCCATCCAAGAAATTACTCAAGTAAGAGTGAAAAAAATACTTGGTAAGAAGTCTACTCAAGTACAAATGATCATTTTTTTAATATTTAAAAGTTACAAAATCAGGCAGATCAAAATATAAACTTCAGTGGAAATTTTGGTATTTTAAGGACGAAAATGACAATAATTCATGTAAGTCACAAAAATAAGAAAATCAGACAAAATAAAAAAAATTCCAAATCAGTTTCTTTCAATAAAAAACTTATGAAACAAAACCTGCAGGTGTGTCTGGATTTTTTGTTAAAACGTTTTTGTTTTTCATTCAGTGGGTAGAAAATCCATGAATTTCAGTCAAGAGTAGAGATACTTCATAGTAAAATTACTCAAGTAGAAGTACAAACTACAGGGTAATAAAAATACTCCTAAAAGTACATTTTTTTTTCGAAAAGTTTCTCAAGTAAAAGTAATTGAGTAAATGTAACTAGTTAGTACCCAACTCTTCCTTAAACTCAGTCCTAAGAACTGCAGTGTAGTAAAATTAAACCCCCTTAAAAACAAGGAATTTGCACGTCTTAAACAGAATGAATGAATTTCATGCCTCACCTCCAGGTTCCAGGTCTGCTTGACGTACTCCCTCAGCATGTTCTCCCTCATTTTGTCGAAAACGCCGATCTTTACGGGCATCTCTGGAGGACGCAGACATGGCTTCTTCAGGAGACACACCAGCCCATCGGGGTCCTTGCTGTAAAACTCGCAGAGCTCCCCGGGGCCGCAGTGAGGCTTCCCTCCGGAGATGCAGTAAGTCCCATTCATTTGTTTCTCTATGGTGTAGTGGTGAAACTCCAGGTTCCAGACCACAGACAGGACGTAGCCTCCGAGGCTGCGGAGGCACTGTCTCAGCAGGAAGAGGCCGTCCGACATGCCGGCCAGCTTCAGGTGCTGCTCGGCGTCCGAGCGACTGATGCTGCCGTAGAAGAAGGGCAGCTCGACCGCGGGGTCGACCGACATGTTGAGGCCTGGGAGGAGTCAATCTGAACCTGCTCTTGAAGTTCTGGACGAATATTGGCAAAGAAAACTGGATAGAAAGAAGAAAAGAAAATGTAATTTTGGAATTTAAATTCACTTTGTGTCACTTCTTATCTTCCTCTATCAGCCCTACTCATCCGTCTAAGTTCATTTACAAAACGAAAAAAAGAACCAGACGTGGACAGAATCCTCAAAAGTTGTACTCAAGTAAGAGTAGCACTACTTCAACATAATTTTACCAAGTCATTTTGGTCTAGTTTATAGTGCAAAT